GGAGGGAGGGAGGGAGGGAGGGTGCAGGGGAAGGGGTGTATTGTAGGGTGTAGGGTGCGTTAGGGCTAAAGGGGTGTAGGGTATCATACCCCAAAACCCCACACGCCTATACCCACAGACCCCAATTTAATGCCGCCAAGACCCTATACCCTACACCCCTTTACCCGTAAACCCTACGCCCTGCACCCTGCTGAAGCAAAACGCCTAGACCCTGAACCCTGCACCCCTTTGGCCCTAAACCCTACACTGCACCCTGACGACAACACACTGCACCCTACACCCCTAAACCTCTCCCTGCACCTCTCACCCAAACCCTACACCTTATCCCCTACAACCCCCATACCCAAAGACCCAATACTTGTCATGTGACACCAAAACCAGACACTTCTTGAACCCAAAACCCTACACTTCTTTGCCCCAAACCCAACACCCTGCACCAAAAAAACCCGTAAACACCGAATTAAAACGACGGCTGGGGATTTCGCACATCTGTTGGCAAAATCTGGCGGAAGTGAGCCGCCACCGAGCAAAAAGCCTTTAAACAGCGCGGTGAACAAAAGGCTAGGGATTTCACACATCTGCTGGTAAAATCTGGCGGAAATGAGTGGCGACCAAACAAAACGCCTGTAAATACCGCATAACAACATGGGCTAGGGATTTCACACATCTGCTGGCAAAATCTGGCGGAAGTGAGCCGCGACCGAGCAAAAGACCTGTAAACACAGCGTTAACACGACGGCTAGGGATTTCACACATCTGTTTGTAAAATCAACAAATAATGACAAATGAAAGCTAATACGTCATTGATGGTTTGCTTGGGTCCCCAACCACAGGACTTAAAGAAACAAGGCTTGTTCGACAGTCAAGGCAAAAAAAGACAAATACAGACAACTTTTGACAATTATCCGGGCAAGCACAGACAAATCCAGACAAATAAAGACAAATCAAGGCAAATAAAGACACATACAGACAAATAAAGCCAAAGTATGCCAAGCCCGTTTTTAGGCCCAAATTGTGAAAAGCCTGATAATCTAAGCCCCGTTATTCTGAGACGTAGCAAATCCTTAAGGATTGTGTGTCTCAGCTACGCGGAGGCGCAGAAGTGCACGGACGCGAAAAACGCAAACTACGCGAAAAACGCAAAAACGCGAAAAAACGCTAACAACACGAAAAACACGTCAACAAAAACGCGAGCAATGCCAAAAGCGCGAACAATCAGCACAGTAGTCGTAGAAGTAGTACTAGTAATCCTAATAATACTGGCAATCGTAATGGTAATAGTAACAATGATAGCAAACGCAACCAGTAAGTGTAGTAGTACTAGTAATAACACTATTTAAGAGTAATAGTGAGTAATAGTACTAGTAGCAGAAACAATGATAATAATAATAACGAATAATAGGAATATCATAATAGAAAAAATCAATTAAAATAAATAGCATTCGTAAAAATAACAACAATAGTAATCGTAAAAACAATAATAATAATGATGATAACAATAAAAAGACTAGTACTGCTAACATAGATCAACATAGCAAGAATAAAATTGATAAGAAATAGGAACATAAATAATAATAGCAATCGTAATAATCACAATAATAGTAATAGCATCCGTAATAGTCGTAGTACTAGAAATATACTAGAAATATTATTAGTAGCCATCACCAAAAATAGCAAAAGTAATGGTCGTAGTAATAATCATAAGAGTAGTAGTAATAGTAATAATAATGAAGATCGCAATAATAAAAATAATTATAATACTAATAGTAGTACCACTGGTAATAGTATTAGTAGTAGTAATAGTAGGTATAATCGCAATAGTATGAGTAATAGTCATAGTAGTAGTCATAGTAACAATATTAATGCCAGCATTGATGACAATTAAATAGTGCCAGATACAAAACTAGTGATAGCAAGAGTAAGAATACCGGTACTAGTATCAGTAATAGTTAGACTACTACCAAGAGTATAGTAACAACAGTAGTAAGAGTAATGAGAATGCTAATAATAATATAATCACGCGATAATAGCAAAGTATAATACGTGTTTAAACTGGACTACATTGGCCTATGCGTTGTATACATGTGCGTCCGTTTATTAAAACTTAGGTGTCAAATAGGTTTGAAATAATGTAAACATCTGTATACAAGAAAATGACAATGCGAATAATAATAATAATAATAACAACAGTAATGATGAAATTAAGGATGAAACTTCTGTTGGCACTCCACTAACATCTGTTTGTAGGAATTGAAGCCTTGACGATATTGAATTTCAGTACACAAGTAATAGACAACACGATAAACAAATACAACATGAAGTAAAAAGATCAAGCTCGACTACTGAATTGAACTTTCAACTGCCTACTTACGATTCAAAATACAGGATAGAACACACCCATTAGTGTACTTCCTATGTATATATATATATGTATACATATGTGTCTCTATATATGTAAATACATTTGCTCATTCACCTCACAAACAAACATCCACATATGCATATATGCATACATCCACATGCATTTCGTACACATACACATACTTGTTCATATATGAACCTGTTGGAATGTGTGTATATATATATATAGATACACGTGTATTTCAACGTTTTATTTGCATGCGGTTTATGGTTATGTACTTGTAATAATTTATACCCTACAGTAGTTCTATGCCTGAAATGACCATCAATATCTTAAATACTCTTCTCTTGTATCTAAAAAATATGGGAAGTACTTGCGCATTAGTATTTATCTCTGTATATGGAAAAACTTGCGTAATAATGCACTGCTTATTATGATATTAGTGGAAATTGATGGATAACTGAGTTTCGTATCCAAGAAATGCCAACTAGCCTACACAATGGCCACAGTATTATAATATAGCAGCTAAAGTAGGTACTGTACCCATATGTATACACATGCATATCTACGAATGTCATGTCCGTGAAAGTGCACTGTCCCTCTTGTGGGTTGCACCGACGCTGGGCACGCGCATTTTCGATGGCTTTAGGGCTTGCTGCCAACTCCGCAGTAGGAAAAATAACCAATAGAAGCACGCATACCAAAGACACAAATTCCAAAAGAACCAACACTACCGAAAACAACAAACATACCAAAATAACCTAAACAATTAAACACAAAATACACAAACAAACAAAACTACCGAAATAACCAACCAATAAACAATATAACAACATAGATAATTATCCGGAGCTCTTGGATATTCGGGCACCAGATTCCAGGATTGCTCTGTATCTTTGTTTGTTGGTTATTTTAGTATTTTTGTTGTGTTTGGTATTTTTGTTCTTTGATTTTTCGGTATTTCTGGTATTGTTGGTTCTTTTGGTTTTTGGGTTCCTTTACATAGTCTTTAGGGTCCGTTTATTGGTTTCCTTCTGCACATATTCAGGACCTGATTGCAAGCCCTAAACCACGCAAAACGAGCGCGAGCAAAATTGCAAACCGTGACTTCCCGTCCCAATCATTCCGAAACACGAAAACACAGGAGGCGTGGCTTCCCAACTGGCTTCTGTCGAGTTCATGTTCGCATGCAGTTTGGTCATCAGCCACCGTGGACACACACACACACACCCACACAACTCAACCTGTACGTAAAGAAAGATTGATGCACCGCGCCTCCAACATCCCAGATGGTCAGACTGATGTTCTCGTACCTGCTGCTGCAGGTGAGCATCGAGAAAGAGAAAAACGATACCCTGAATATCCCGGTTGTAGAGACACCCAAGCATCAAGCTCAACTGTGTTTGCCAGGTGCTGCCAAAGCTCTCAACAGTCTCAACATGGAACCTTGGCTTTGCGAAGTGGGACCCTACACAGTGCCATGGTGCCAGGAAGCTCTTTTGTTTAAAGCTTCTTGGGTTTCGGAGAAGCAAGCTGCTCCCGAGAAACCCCACTGTAGGGGATCGTTGTCACGACCTCCGACAGCTTCAGTCTGTAAGGATTGTGGTCTTGCCGGCTGCATCCAGGCGCAACATGAGGATTCGCATTTCCTTCGATCCAATCATGCGCGTCCAGACCTTGCGGAAGAGTAGGCCCATCTCGACTACTGCACTACTACACGACACCGAGGAGTGTGGTGGCCCGAGATGCTCTGCTGCCTACTGACGCTTGATCCAGAAAGCCAAACAGACACACGCTCGCGGCGTAGTGGTCCGGAAACCTACTGTACAGCATCTGCACTGCCCCACGCGGCGGCGTGATGTCTCTTTAGCTTTTGAGGTGTGCCTACATGCTGAGCGTCAAACATGACATTCTTCTCCTTCCTCTGCATGCCCAAAGCACGTCAGTCTGTACACTGCGGCCGCTTTCGAGGAAGGGGTCCATTTTCGGAACCACGGCGGTCACCCTCACTGCTCGCAGCGAGGCTGCACACGCCCTCAAAATCATCTATAAATCTTGTATCGACTTGCACACAACTCAGCTTCCAAGTTGAAAGTCGCATCAGGGCAACCTGGTGTTGCACGGTCACTTCGTGCATAGGGCGCGGGAAAGCCACTCCAAGCCCTCATACAGGTCGGGGCAGAGGTTGCCTGTATGATACTTACGATGCTGCATCTTCTGCAGCTCCAGTGCGTGCATGCCGTAACTCGCGGACATTGCGTTGGGAACGTCCTGCTTATTCTCCATCACCAGCAGAGCTGCCTTCTCCCTCTCTGGCTCGCCCAGCATGTGCTGCAGCACATCCCTGGCATCATTGATGCGATCACGATCAGAGCTGTCTACCACAAAGATCAAGCCGTCAGTGGCCTGGTAGGCCCCGGTAGGCCACAGCCTGCGGATCTTGTCCTGGCCTTCCACAGGTACGGATACGCACAGCATTGCAAGCCCTGACTTCCCGTCCCAATCATTCCAAAACGCAAAAACAGAGGAGGCGTGGCTTCCCAACTGGCTTCTGTCGAGTTCATGTTCGCATGCAGTTTGGTCAGCAGCCACCGTGGACACACACACACACACAACTCAGCCCGTACGTAAGGAAAGATTGATGCACCTCGCCTCCAACATCCCAGATGGTCAGACTGATGCTCTTGTACCTGCTGCTGCAGCTGAGCATCGAGAAAAAGAAAACCGATACCCTGAATATCCCGGTTGTAGAGACACCCAAGCATCAATTTCAACTGTGTTTGCCAGGTGCTGCCAAAGCTCTCAACAGTCTCAACATGGAACCTTGGCTGTGCGAAGTGGGATCCTAAACAGTGCCATGGTGCCAGGAAGCTCTTTTGGGTTGCGGAGAAGTAAGCTGCTCCCGAGAAACCCCACTGTAGGGACACTTCCAGGTCCAACGTGCCGAAGGCCTCTCAGCTGCGGACATGGCCCCCGGAAGTATGCAGGGCGACATTGGGGCTCAGCTGGCAAACGCTGTAGAACCCATCCGAGCAATGCGGACAACGTTCAGCTTGCAACCGAAGAGGATCTTTTGCCACGTGTCTTGCACGCTATGGGAGCCTGCGGCAGGGTTGGGCGATGCAAAGTGTTTTACCGGTATAAACCTGGGCTGTTTAAACGCCCAAATGTTTAAACATAAGGGCTCCCGTTCGCAGACATGTTTCAAGGGCTTAAACCACCTAAGCCATCAAACCACAATGTTTAAACGTTTGGGTGTTTAAACCGTTTGAACCTTTCCAACGTCGAGCCTGCCGGCCTTCTACGCTTCAAGTATGTCAACGAAGGCCGCGCCGAAGCGGTGGGAGCGCCCTGCAGTGCGATGGATTACCGAGAATCCTCCAACTATTTTTGTTGGCAAACGAAGAAAAATAAAGTGTTCATAAATTTTGAAAGTGTGAATGTTCAGCAACCATGCCAGAGCCCCGGCTGGAAAGTGCTGTTAAAATGGTGAGCAAATCTACTGCAAGTGTAATTGTGTAAACGGCTTGGATGCCAAAGGTGTTTAGCCCATCCGTGGTCTCTGGGTAGCCATCTAACCCGCGAAGCTTGGCTCCATCTCGGGTGAAGCACGGCCATTCCAATCAGCCTGCCTCCTGTAAAAAATGCAGTCAAGGCCTGCCGCCAAGTATGTTAGATGTGTTCGTTTAGCTAGTGTTCCAAGTGCTGCGTTGCCAGCGAGAGGACGATGAAGTAGAATTTCCATTGCCTTCGACTATGGCGACAAAAACCATGCTGACAACAAGAGCTGCCAAGTCCTCGACATCACCCGCCCGTGGAATCCAGTCCAGCCAAGGCCAGAGCGAGGGTGGCCGCATCTGCCCCTTCACCGCCCGTTTCCTCGCACTTGGAGTGGGAGTGTTAGCATGGTGCTTTCAAGATATTGCATCAAGGCTTCGAAGTCTGTGTGTCCCAATATCGAGTCAAGACGACGAACAATAATTTTGAGCGGGAGTTTGATCTTTCGTATCGGTTTCTTGGTCGAACCCCCTGCCCGGCCCCCCTCTTTGGTCCCGAGCCCACCGGAACACTCAACTCCAATCTTGGATCCTAAGCTCCGAATGGATCACACCTCAACAATATTGAAAGCTTCTGCACCTGTCCTGGCCGAACCTGTTGGCCAATGTGGCGCAGCAGTCGATCAGAAACGCAAGATTGGCCTGTTCATGACTCGTGATGATTAGCTGAGGGTAACTGTAGCAACACTGTAGCATTTAATCTTCAAAGCTTCAGGAAATGGAAGTATAAGGCTTCGGGCTCAGGCCAAGGGAACTAGGGTCTACAGGGCTTTGGGTATACAGGGGTACGGGAACCCCTGTGCGGTGTAAAGACTTTCGTCTTCCGGTTTTCGACTTGCGATTTGAAGCCTCAAGCTGATAGTTGCACGAGGTCTCAGACTTCATCATAAAGAGTCTCAAGCCTCGACTAGAGTTGTCGTAATTCGAGCTTTCTTGTTGTCTAGAACCCGCTGCCTCAAACAACATTAGTCGGTGTTTCGGTTGCTGTGGAAAAAACAGTTGGGAAGTGTTCTGGTTGTCACTAAACCCTGGCAAGCTGCGGATGGCAGCACATTCCGGAGCCTTGCCTGGCTGTCTTCGGGCGTAGTCTTTTCCAGAAGCACTGCCTGCCTGGCTGAGATCGCGTCAGGGTGTATTACCATGTGAGTCAAGGTTTATGCCGTTGTCCAGGTCCGGGTGCAGCATACGAATTGAATTGCTATCTTTTCGTACCCTACTGCTGTTGTACTCGAGTAGCTATTGCTGTTTTCACACAACAAGATTTTAGACACACTCAGGGGCCACATGCCTCAAGGCCAGGAACGCATGCAACATATCTGCCGCCCATGGCCCAAAGCTATCATTGCAAACCACGACTCAGCCCGAACAACACAAACCTTCTGTTCTGAAACCATCGACCCAGGCCGCAAGCATCATGACCATCGGCTGCCATTGCCCATGTAATGAGTGATCCATGCCCCGACCGCGCGAACGACGTGAGCCTCAAAATTGTACTGCATCCATCGACCCAAACGAGCGAGCATCATGATCGGCTACCAAAGCCCTGGAGTCATAAAAGACGCGAGCGCAAACAACATGAATCAGACAGAGAATCAGCTGCTGCTAGCGTCCTGCATCGACCTGTACGCTCGTACCGCGAGCATGCGGAGCACATGGCCTTGAGGGAGTTATCAACACCCTCCTAAGTAAAGCCTTGTCCCACATCCACCGACCCCAACCACGAGCATCATGAAAACCAGCTGCCCCTGCCGTTGGGACATCAAAGCTGCCCTCTTGCACAACATGAGCCTTTTCCCACATCCATCGCTCACGTGCATGATGAGCATCAGCTGCCATTGTGCTTGACTCATCAACGCATGGGACGAAACCCAAATCAGCCTTGTCCCGCATCCCTCGCCCCGAACCACCAGTACAAACATGCAGAAAGACTCATGCACGTCAGCTGTGATTGTCCTTGGAATCATCAAGACCGCAGTGCAAACAGCGTGTTCCTTGTCCACGCAGCGACCCAAACAGCGAGCATCATGAGCATCAGCCACCGTTGCTCTTGCTTTGTCAAAGCATGGAGCACAAACAACATGAGACTCTTCCAGAATTCATGGAGCCTGGGCCCAAAGCATCATGTGCATCAGCTGCCGATGAATCATCAATGCCCTTAGAGCGAGCGGACATGAGCTTACATCCACCGATCCAAACCCGCGAGCATCATGAGCATCAGCTGCTGAGTCCTGAAACCGCGACAGCAAACAAAACGGGCATCTATCGACCCCAAGCGTGAGAATCATGAGCATCAGCCGCAGCCGTGTCCTGCATCCATCGACCCCAACAGCAAGCATCATGAGCATGAAGCAGATGTTGCCCTTGATTCATCAAAAGGCCAAGTGCAAACATGAAGAGCCCTGTCCTTGTACCCACTGATCCCACCGGCGGCCATGACAAGCTCAGCTGCCGTTCCCCTTGAGTTATCCAAACCATGGACGCAAACAACACTGCCACAAAACACAATCAGTGGGGCCCCTGTCCAGGAGACATCAAACCAGACAGCTGCAATTTCTCGGACGTACGCATCATGGGCATCAGCTGCCCGGTCCCAGTTGCCTTGAAGAATAGGACTAGGAGCATAAGCAAAACAAGCATCAGTCGCCCCTATCCTGCAGGCGTCAACCTTGAGCCACGAGCATCATCAGCATCAGCTGCCGTTTCCCTTGAGCCATGCAGGCCAGGAAGAACAATGTAAAACAACATCAGCCGCCCCTGTGCTGGAGGTATCAACCAGGCCATGCGCATCATGAGCATCAGTTGTCATTTCCCTTGAGCCATGACGGCCCAAAGCGCGAGCGCAAAGATCTTCAGCCGCACTTGCCCTAGAGGTATCAAAGCATCATGAGTTCCCTTGAGCCATCAAAGCCCAAAACACAATCAGTGGCGCCCCTGTTCAGGAGATATCAAACCAGACAGCTGCAATTTCTCCTGAGCGATGAAAGCCCAAAGAACGAGCAACACAAGAATTAGCCGCCTCTTTCCCAGTATCCAACCAGACCATACGCATCATGAGCATCAGCTGCCCTGTCCAAGTTGCCTTGAAGGCGAGGACTAGGAGCATAAGCAAAACAAGCATCAGTCGCCCCCTGTCCCAGAAGTATCAAACCAGACCGTGCGCATCATGAGCACCAGCTGCCAATTCCCATGTGTAATTGAAGGCTTCGAACACGAGCAATGCAAGAATTATCAAACCAGACCGTGCGCATCATGAGCACCAGCTGCCAATTCCCATGTGTAATTGAAGGTTTCGAACACGAGCAATGCAAGAATTATCAAATCAGACCGTGCGCATCATGAGCATCAGCTGCCATTTCCCAGTTGCCTTGGAGGCTTGGAACGCAAGCAATACAAGCATCAGTCGCCCTGCTCAAGAAGTTTCAAACCAGACCGTGCGCATCATGTTTATCAGCTGCCAATTCCCAAGTGAATTGAAAGTAGGAGCACAAGCAATACAAGCAACAGTCGCCCTGTCCCAGAGGTACAGTATCAAACCACACAGTGCGCATCATCAGCATCAGCTGCGAACTCCCAGCTGAATTGAAGGCTAGAAGCACAATCAGTCGCCCTGCCCCAAAAGTATCAAACTAAAACCGTGCGCATCATCAGCATCAGCTGCCCGTTATGTGGATCAGCTGCCATTTCCCAAGTGCCTTGAAGGAGGCTGTAGGCTAGGAGCACAAGAACTACAAGCATCGGCCGCACCGTCACAGAGGTATCAAGCCACAGCGCGCATCATGAGCACAAACTGCCATTTCCTAAATGCCTTGAAGGCTTGGAACGCAAGCAATACAGCCCTGATGCAAACCAGCCGTGCGCATCATCAGCATCAGCTGCCCATTCCCAGGTGCCTTGAAGGCTAGGAGCACAAGCAATACAAGCATCAGTCGCCCTGTCCCAGAGTATCAATCGAGGCCGTACGCATCATAAGCATCAGCTGCCAACACCCAGGTGCCTTAGCGGCTAGAAGCACGAACAATACAAGCATCAGTCGCACTGTCCCGAAGGTATCAAACCAGACCGTGCGCATCATGAGCGCACGCTCAGGGTCCCCCGTCTTGTAAGAAAAAATCAATAAAAGCAATCAAAGTAATAGGTATAGTAATAGTGGAGCTGAAAGGAGGCCGTGCAACCGAGAACAGTCGGCAAAGTACACAGGAGTTCCAGTACCATCCGCAAACCCTCGGATGCTGCAGAGCGGCTCTTGGCGACTACGATTTGTCTCTTGCGGCAGCAGCAGATTGCCGCGAGCCAGGCCTCTGCGGCCCTCCTCCCGTTCAAGGTGTCTACTTGAGTTGTGATGGGTTCCGGCTTGTGGGAAGTTTCGGGCTTCAGGGCCTTAGGTCGTTGCGACTCTGAGATTCGAGGGTTTTTGATCTTAGGTTTTGAGCTGACTTCGTTTTTGGGGGCTTAGGCTTGAGATCGCTCACGGAGGAGTTAGTCAGAATACATGGTTCCGACACGGAAGTAAGCATGATTCGTACTAGCCTTACTAGGTTACTGGGCTCCGCAAACGGGATCCTGGGTGCACGGCGGCTTGGAGGCTACCTGCTGAACTACTGAGGACTGTGGGGGCAAATGCGGCTGCCGGTAAGAGTAGAGAGTCGTTGCCGGGAGCGGGGCGGGCATAATCAAACAATATTAATTACCAGAAAACTTTTGCAAACGGACTGTTTGCGAGTGCTCAAGGTGTATGGACCCTGTCGGGTACAGTATGTGCACCAAAGACAAGTAAACCCCAGGCCCACCTGACACTGTGGGCAAACGCAATCCGAGCCCGCTCGCGCTGGAAGCTGCCTGGGCTGCTATCCTCGATGCAAAACCCTGAACGAGTACGCCGGCTTTGCCAAGGAAGTAGTAACGATGTCCGGATCGGTCCGCAAACCAAACCCTACAAGCCCTTATGGCTTTCACTCTGATCGGTTCGGAAACCTGAAGCCCTACGCCATTAAGACAGATCCGGTGGCGGTAGTGGTTGTGGTAGGTCTGGGCATAGCCTCGGCAGCAGAGCCAACGGCTACGGGTAGGGGCTTTCGTAGTCCGCAGCGCTTCAAACACGATCGAGGCCATTCACTTGGGCTCTGATGGCTCCCACTTCAAGAGGCCACGCCAACATAGGAAATCTCACTACAGCCGCTACAGGGTTCAGTATTCGGGATCTGACCATGCTGAAGTCGACAGCCACCCCAAAGTTCAGCAGAAACGCCTTCTCTGAAAGGTTTGGGTCCCCCAGAATGGTATCGGCACGGCCCGGCAGGGACAGGGAAGACGGCAAAGGGCTCAGATGCCATTGATGACACATCGAGGATGATTGCTTGGGGTCAGGCCTTGCGACTTACGGATTGAGTCGAGGGTAAATCACCATTTACAAAAGGCGTTTGGGTCTGCAACGCAGAGACACTTCCATCCTGCTGTGTCAGATTGTACCATCACCAAAGAAAACGGAAGTGGATCCTGCATTCGCCCGGGTAGCTCTCTGGCCGTTCAGATGACGGGTCTGCCTTACGGCCATCACGAGAAACCGTTTGAAGCTGACGGAACCTCGATAACCTCTTTCTGCAGGAGTGCCCCCGAAATCCTCCGACCACACATAGGAACCTCTGGCTTGGACCTTTCAGAAGCTGCTTAAAGTTGAACGCACCTCAAACATCCTCAATGCCTAGTCTCGCCATTCGATAGGCAGACTTTGCTCGACGAGCCCCATACAAGACAGCAAGCATGGCTCGGTCTTTATGGCTGCAGGGGCTCGGACAATCCAGGCGTGGTCTCTCGAGCGAAGTCGGTGTGAGACATTGTGAGGCTATGTCAAGCTTCTCTCCAAGAGAAGGCCTGAACAAACCGAATCGCTTTTTTGGTGAAAAGTAAACGACCATTTCAGGTTGCAGGGCTGCGGGTTGAGAGTCCAGTTGGGTTCAGGCCAGAAACGGCGGGAAGCTTCTCTAAATAGCAAAAGATCGATGTTCCTTCGTGTCCAGTCTTTTCGGTGAAACAAGCGGTGGACCAGCAACACGTGCAGCGCGGAACACCGTCATGGGCTGAGTAGATGAAGCGAAGGCAAGAAAAGAAAGCACTCTCGCCTTGTCCTAGTCAGAGCTGAGCTGCTGTCCATGTGAACGGCCAGCGTAACCTACTCAACCGCAGCTGATGTTGTTGGTGTTCCACTCTCGCACTCCCCATGCAGGCACGACTGTACTAGTTGGTGCACGGGCAGTCCCTACCATAGGATTGAAAACTTCAGCCAACCTGCAGAAGAGACCGGGCAACGTGAAGTTGTCAGGCATTCCTTCTTCGCCGGAGCGGTCGGCGTCCCAACTCATCAGGATCATTTCCTACCTGGTTTTCGAATTCAGCACGCAAAGATGACAGAGACCGACGATCGCGCCGCGCAGCTTGACAGTCATGAGAGTCAGGGCCACACTCCTCAGATTTCACAACCCTTGCGTGACGCTCGCGCTTCGATCGGCGCCTTTTACGTTTATGTCTGCGACGGGCGAAAGGCCTGGGGATCACTTCGAGTGAAGGATCCCAGTTTTCGCACCGCTCCTCTCCGGAATACGGTGGCGAGTTGGGCTGGACGATGATGCCGGTGATCGCCACGGCATCGCTGCTGACCACCACTGCTCTGCTTGCGACTTTGCCACGGAGTGGCATCACTTTCGATGGGTCATAGCGAACCTCAAGCATCACACGATGGAACATTTTATCACCGTCAAACACTTGGTGGGGTCTGGCAAACCAAATCGATCCACTCAGGCTCGGGGCCAAGTACACGCCTGGAATCGAAAATCCATGGCCCCTTTCCTTGCTGCTGGATTCCAGAAGTACTCCGCTACGTAGGATGCTGCGCAATGCGTAAAACCAAGTCCCATGAAAAGCTCGACTCCACCCCTCTTCGGGCTCTGTGTGTGCGTTCTCCTCCGTGCAGGGCGGAACGTAGCGGTAGTACATGAAAGGATAGGACGGGTCGCCCTCGGAGGCAGGTGGATCCCATCTCGCATCTCTCTGCAGAGTTTTCTGGAGCTGCCGCTCCCTGAGCCATCGTCTGAAATTCAAGTGAAAAGACTCCATGGCAATTCCATCAGGAACCCCTTGGCGACATATAGCTTTCTTCTTGTGGCCGGAAGACTGATTCTTCCAGTGCTGAACCATATCATGCTGGTTGTACTCCGCAAGCCTGAGGACAGACTCCAGGCATCTTTGTCGTGGCCCTCGTGGCGCCCGGTTGTCTGTTCCCTTGTCTCTGCCGCTTTTGTGCCTTTCTCGAGGAGCCGGCGGTGGAGGCGCACATTGGAAGGGACGGCGCAGCTCCTGCCCGAAGACGTACACGAAAGGATGGCTCCCTTCAACTTCCTTCGCGTCCTCGAGTTTAGACATGTCCGGGGCGTCCCGGCCCAACGGGCCATCGGAATCGAAACATCTGCGCTCCACAGGATGTCTCGGGTTTAGGGTTCCCGAGTTCTAAAGATTAGGTTCTGCTTCAGGGATTCAGCTGCCTTCGGATTCGCGTTTGTAGCAACCTGCTGGATTTGCCCGCGTGTTTTGCTGTTGAAAATTGTCTCTCTGGTCAGTACCCTACGGGCTGCTAGAGTTGTTGAAAGTTCGTTCGGCTTTAGGGAATCGTTGGGTTCTTGTGCCAAAATGGTTACGGGCTGAACAGGTTAGCGGCTCACGACTTGAGGCTTTGCCAAGTGTCTGCTGCTTGTGTAAGTGTGGAAGTCGAAGGGCTATAGGGTTTTTGACCTTTTGCTTAGGGCCTCCCTCTGTCAGACCCAAGATAAAGTGCGACTTGAATCTGCAGCATTTGTGAAATGCAACAGGGCAGCCAAGTCACATCATCACCACCGTCATGAGAAGGCCAGAGATCATGCTCAGTACCGCGGCAAGATTCTTCTTGGTGTCCTGGCTCAACTGGTCGGCACCATCCTAAATGGAAGAACTTACCAACTTGCTTCTCGAGCCCTAGGCCGTCTGCTTTTGAAGGCATTAAGCCGGTAAACGCTGATCCCTGAAACTCTGCGCCCCAAGCTCTTCAACCCAGAACCTGACAAGCTACACTTTTCACACCGACACCCCCGAACAATACACCTAAGCTTTTCATCTTTGAGGCCTGGGCTCTTTGCCTGCATGAAAACATTTTGCTGCTACTGGATTCAAGTCTAGCCAGACCGCGAAACTCTAAACCCTAAGCCCACAGGCGCCGTATATCCTGCGACCTCAACCTGCAAGCTATCCTTTAAAAGTTCTCGAGCCACGATAGGGCCAGATGCCCTGAACTCAAATGCGAGCCCCCCGACTTCCACCCGTCTCATGGGACTCACTGCTTCCAACCAACATCGAACCAAAAGGGTAATAACGGGAGTTACCGGTTGCAAGTTGCAAGCCCTGGCAAGTACAGCATGCATGCAATGAGCTGAAAACTGACTGCGGCAGTCGCCTCTGCCACCCCGTGTCCCTCCTTCCTTCTTTCCTTCCTTCCTGCATTCCTTCTCCTCTCCTGTTTTGATGCAATTCCAAAACCGTCTGTGGATCTTTCCACAACAGGCCATTGCCGAAAAGTCAAGAAGCCAATTACAACCCTAAGAACTGCAGGGTGAATCAAGAGTCTGTCAGAACCCTTTACTCCTTACAGTCCTGGGTGTTCCACACTGTGTTCTCGAGATCACTCAGGAAGCCCAGGCGATAGATCACATAGAAGGAATCGAAAACTCTCTCCTCGGACGTAATCAGGGCGGCTTAGACTTCGTAGTAGGATTGAGGGCAAGGGGCAGGCCTACACGTAAGAGTGGTCCATCAGGAGTCGCCGGCTCAATCAAGGGCTCATATGGCATCACCAACAGCGAGTGGTTCTCTCCGACCCAGCAGGCTTCTAGGTTCCAGGAACGACCAGCAGCAGTGATGAACGAGGTTGACCCAGAGTCTGGAGTTCTGAAACAGGATCTGGACTCTAGACAGCACAGGAGCAACAAGAAGCTGAGTTCAGGTGGGGTGTTGTGTGAGCCAGATGGATATCCACCTAGTGTCCAGCCTGCGGTTATGGCGCCTTCAGAGCTTTGTGCCGTGTCGCAGTGGAGCCTGATGGGCGGGGCATGCAGGGCGTTGCCGAAGAAGCCAAGAGTCCCGCATCCCTGAAACCCTTCAGCCGAGGCCGCAAGCCACAAGCAAGCATTCAACCCTCACCCTAAAGCCCTGCATAGCTGTCCCGTCCTAAGACCTGCAGACATATGGGCCCAAACATGCCATGGAACCGCAGGTCAACCCGAGGGCGATGGAGGCATTGGTGAAAGCACAGCCGTCCACCAACCTATTGCCGTCGGGCAGTGTATGTATGTATGTATGTATGGAGGGAGGTAGGTAGGTAGATAGGTAGGTAGGTAGGTAGGTAGGTAGGTGGGTAGGTAGGTAGGCATGTATGCATGCATGCATGCATGCATGCATACATGCATGCATGTATGTATGTATGTATGTATGTATGTATGTATGTATGCATGTATGCATGTATGTAGTGTATGTAATGCATGTAATGTGTGTGATGTATGGGATGTATGGGATGTATGGGATGTATGCGATGTATGCAATGTATGTATGTCTGTATTGTTTGTAATGTTTTGTAATGTACGTGATGTATGCATGTATGTATGCATGTCATGTAATGTAATGTAATGTAATGTAATGTAATGTAATGTAATGTAATGTAATGTAATGTAATGTAATGTAATGTAATGTAATGTAATGTAATGTAATGTTTGTTTGTATGTATGTACGTATTTTGTGCATACGAGTGTGTGTATGTACATGTTTTAAAGTCCATGTGTACCAACCTGTATGTGTGCATGTATGTATGTACAAACATAGATATATAAATCATACATATATATATATATATATATATCAGACTCAGTCACCCGTGAGCCGCGACACAGAACCCAGCGATGTCTCGTTCCCTCTCTCTCTATGTGTATATATATATATATATGTACTTATACACATGAAAAACATATACACATACATGTATCTGTCCACAGATACATATACAGCGTATACTACTGTTGTTTGGTTGGGGGCGTCTTGTAGCTGGGCGGTTCCATGGATGATGTCTTCGTTTGGGTTCGCGAGCCGCAACTAGTGACAGGGCACAGGATCGCGGCAAACATTTGCGACGAGATCCTGGGATTGGGTGTCTCTTGGCCGGTGGTAGCCTCAGTGCCGGCTCTTGAATCAGTAGTGGGAGCAAGTAATGGTTTTCTCACAGGTGAGCTTTCAAAGCTTCAGGCTACAGCAATCCCCCTTTTCATGCCGGGCTCAAGGCTGAACAAATGGGAGCCCTCGGCCCTACACGTTTGCACACGAAGGCCTTAAAGTTCTGAACTCTCAACATCTGTGCCGAAACCTCACTGCACCAGAACCCTAGTACCGACACAACCGAAAGCGACACACCCTCGTACTCGTAGCCACAACCCAGAAACTTCATCTGCATGACAACTGCAACTGTAACCCAAACCACCTTCTAAGAGCGTTTAGCAAGAATTCTTATCCAAGTTAAGCACAACTATACACTAAGGATCACTAAGGAATACCCAGACACAGCCAATATACCAAACACAATAACGGTCCAAAAATAATTTGGAAACATCTGCAAGTCCATCCGAGCTGCAGGTCTCGCTCAATGGGAAGAACCTGCTGGGTAGCGAACGATCAGGTTTGTGGCTTTGCATCTGGCTTTGGGCCTATGCTTTCGGGTGGCTAGTGTTTCGGGTAGTTCATGCGTTTGAAAGCGATTGGGGATTAAGCGAGGCATTTCTGGTCATACCACTGCAGTCCTGGAACTCAAGGTTTTTTGAGGCTTAAGGCACAAAGGCGAAACTCGGAGCCTCTAAGACTGTGGGTTTGACGGCTTGTCTTTGAAGGACGCACCTGGAAGCTACTGTATGGCTGCAACAGTTTCATCAGGACCTCGGGGAGTTTCCACATGCTTGTCCTGCCGATCAAACCGACCCCTAATTCCTCAACCACTCGCCCCGACTGTGCTTCAAGCACCAATCCTGCCAGTCAGCAGTTCGGACTGCAGGTTGAAGGCTGACGGCGTCAAGGGGTTTCTAGTCTGACACCTATACGCATCAATGGGACACTCTGCTGCAAAACAGCACAGCACAACCTTAATTATACGAAAGCAAAGAGCAATATGCCCAATCGTGCAAGCGACCTGTCAGAAGCTTTGGCAATTTCCAACTTTACACTGTAAATCCCGAAACCCTGAACCCACACACCCTGACCCGATAGCTTGCATCTTTGCTTTCGTGGCAGTTCCACATCTGCGCGTTGGGGCCGTGTAGTACCGGTGGTAGGAGTAGTAGTAGTAGTAGTAGTAGTAGTAGTAGTAGTAGGAGTAGTAGTAGTAGTAGTAGGAGTAATATTAGTTGTTGTTCTTGCTATACTAGTATCTTACTCGTATTGGCAACGATGTATTTGCACTATGAGTACCATATACTATATACTATAGCAGTAGTAGTATCAGTAGTAATATTCGTTTTGAATATACTATTAGTACTAGTATGAAATACTACGATTTTTTGATAATGCTGCAAATAATGCTTATTAGTAGTAATAATAGTACAACCAGCAGTAGTATTAAACAGAGAGTAGCCAAAAGTATCAGCATCTTGTGTTCGCGAAAAATGCCTAAACGTCAAAACACAAAAAAACAACGCGAAACCATGAACACTGCGAACAAAAAACGCAAAGCACGTGAAGACGCGAGAACGCGAAACACGCGAGAACAAAAAAACAAAAACATGCTAAAACACTACAAACGCTAACAATGCGAACAACGCGAAAAAAGCAAATAATAGTAATAATATGGTGATATCTTGGTCCCTTGGTACTTTTATATAGTATCGGGTTTCGCGTGTTTCGCGTTTTCGTTTTCTTTTCCTTTTTTGCTTTGAATGTTCGCGTTTCTCGTGGTTTTTAATTTTTTGCGCGCTGCGCGCCGACTCCGATTAAGCACTAGTCGCAAAAGCCTCGCTTGGTCTTCCTCACCCTAACCTTAAATCCGAAACGATACACCGATACAGTACCGAAACGGCAATGCAAACCAAGGAACAAGGCATCACTTGCTTTCCGCATCTGCTCCCTCGTCGGAAGTCGGACTCCGTGAAGTCCGCCGGCCGCCAGTTATGTTTGAAGGTCCTGGTTGAAGATCATCTCAAGACCTGGGACAAGAACGCCAGTGACGTGGGCTTGGGACTCCGGTGTGCAAAGTTCATGCTTTAAGCCATTGGACTCTTGAAGTTTAGGCTTTTACTTGCCTTACTTGTACGGAGAGCTGCTAAAGGTTTGGGGCTTAAAGATTTTGTTAAGAGAGAGTTTCAGCTAAA